TGGCGCTGTGTGTCATTAAATGAAATGTGCAATTTAAATGAATCATATAATTTTATCTTTAATTAAACATATTATATAATGTCACATAAAATGGTATTCCAGCACTACAAATCATAGGTAACATTATTAATTGCAAATAGAAGACAATGAATATACATTATTTATATTTTACTTTTGAGTTGAAGGCTAATATAGTAAAGAGTGTCATACACTTAACTCTAAGCATGGCACATCACCTACTAAAATTCCCCAAGGCAAGTTACAAGTGTGTTAGACACAAAACAAAAGTATTAGCCCTTGTTAGAGCCACATTATTTTTTTTCATTCTTATTTTGAACTATACATTTTTCAATAAAATAATATTTTCCATCATATCAATAACTTTTTTTTCTTTTACAATCACATATTCCTTGTCATATCAGCAAAAAAATGCATTATTGGCTCCAAAATATGCACCAAACTGCGGCTTAATTGAAGAATTGAGTAACTTGATTATCAGAGTTGAATTCACTATATCATGTCTTTAAGTGGTCGAATTCAATAATAGACGCTTGTATAATAAAATTTTCAGCATGTTTACATTGAAGACGATAATACAAGACGCCCAACTCATTGCAAAATGTGAGCATGGTGAAGTTGGAGCGTTGCTTATCTTCGAATTTAACTTTTTTAGTAACTTTGTACGAGGGTGAATGGTGAGAACTATAAAATGTGTGAATAATAATGAGTATTATGTAAAATTTAAATTTAAATTTGATTTTAACTGAATAATAAAAGTAACTTTTAAATTACTAATAATGTTACACGAACGCACAGTCTAAATCCATGAATTAGGTATAAAATAGATTTAAAATCATTCTTATTTCTTGAGATCAATCCTACCTATCAAAAATTTCTTCCATATATTTCTTTCTTGTGTGGTCAAACAATTTTTTTTTTTTTTCAATAGAAACCTTACTTCCTCGAGACTCCAACAGCAGTAGGCAATGATATGATAGTTCAACAACTCCATCATTAATACGCCTTACAGTATGGATATGGCAGCTAGTCAATCGATAATTTGTCACTCGGGTCATCAAAGGGAAGAACAATGCTACCCATCGAGTTAAATCCAGTCTCATTTCGGGTGGGG